AGCACACAACAGCAACAAACACTTTACAAATGAACATCATCAACAACAACATGCTAAATAAAATAAAAATTGTCACAACTCACAGCCGCAAAAACAACAACAAACACAACTATACACAATCAACAACAGCAACGAAACAACAACATACGTACATATTATATTTCAAGGAAGACACCCATCTCTTCATCCATCCATCCATTCATTTGTACATACAAACACACGCGCGCACGCATACACACACAAATACACACACACATATATGTACACACACACATATGCACACACGCACACACACAAACGCACACACACACAGACATTCAGCCCACCTCAAGTTTGCGCCTCGGGACAGCTCAATTAGCAGACAGCATGCGATGTCATGTAAGACTCTGCCCTTCATGTACAACACACGTACACACACGTACACACACGTACACACACGTACAAACTTTGTACACACGCACACATATGTATATAGTCATTCATTTGTAGTATATCCAATACAATGTATGTATGTATGTATGTGGATGCAGTTGTTTGCTTATTGATAATGCAACAATGAAATAATACGAAATGATATGGGAAATGAAATGTTTCGTAAGCCCACACGTGTTTCTGCTTCTGTACGTGTGTTTAGTTGCGTGTGTGTAGGTGTATGTATATGTATGTGCGTGAATGTGTATGTGTACGTGTATGTGCACATGTGTGTGTGTGTGAATGTATGTGCGACAGTCACACAGACACGAACAAGTTGAATCATGTTCTCCTTCTTAGGCAGACTGAATGTGTGCCAAGAACATTTTAATATGAAATTGGAGATTCTGTTAATGATGAGATGCAGAAATATTAGCCCTGTTCCTTCTTGTCATTTGTTTTTGTCGGCGCATACACACAGACAAACACACATACAAACACATACATACAGATACATACAGACAGACACATACATACAAACACATACATACAGACAAACACACACATACAGATAAACACATACATACATATATATTATTATTAATACGTGCTTATAATAAATGAATATTAAACAAATTTAAAAACCAAACAAACCAGTTGAAATTGAGAAGATCAAAATTAAACTGGACAGATACAAATACAAAACGAAGCAAAACACATACAAATATACAAAACAATACAAACAGACAAAAATACAAACAAAGACAAACAAGCATTCATACAAATTATATACAAAACATTAATCTAACAAAGATGCAGGCGTACATATGTGGTATAACTGTTGCAATATATTTTCAAACATATTTCTAATAAAATCACATAATTAAAACAAAAGAAAAACAAACAAACAAATATGCAAACAAATATACAAACAAATATACAAACGAATATACAAAAAACTAAATAACCAACCAACAAACAAATATACAAACATTCAAACAAGCAAGCATCGAAACGATAACAAAAAAAACCGACATACGACCATGATTTCAGACATAAAAAAGCGTGTCAACAATAACAACGACAACAACGACAACAGCAACGACAACAACAACAAAAACTACTACTACTACTACTACTACTACTACTACTAATACTACAAAACAATATGTAAACTTATAAAAATAATCAATTGAATATATAAATAAACATGCAAACATGCATACAAACAAACAAACTAGAAACAAATAAACATATAAACGTACGAAAAAGAAAAACATACAAAACAAACGACATTAGACACACAAATAAACCGACGAAAAATACAAATCAACATACAAAACAAACGGACGAACAACACACAAAACCAACGAACAGGCAGACAATAAACATACAAACAAGCACATACAAAACAAACAAAACAAACAAACAAAACAATGAAACAAAACAAACAAACAATAAAAGGAGCCATCAAGAAGATGTCAAAGTGCCACCCCAGGAAATTTCAAATATTGGCTTCGTTACTTTTTTAGCTACACGACATACAAAGCGACTACACACACGCACGCACACACACACACCTCACAAACACAAATATGACACGTGCACACCTCACAAACACACACACACACACAGTTAAATAATTATACCACACATACACACCATAAAACATACCCCACACATACCTTCAACTCAGCAAAATGCAACAGGACAAATTTACACACCATTCACATATAATGATATACAAACACGTTAACAAAACTAAAACACACACTAAACACACATACACACATAAATACACACATAAAAAACAACACACACATATATATATACAACAACACACACACATATATATACAACAACTCACACATATATATATACAACAACACACACAACACACTTAGAAGAGGGCCAATGGCAAACAAAAAATAGCATTATTAAAATTTCAAACAAATAAATATGTAAAAAGAAAAAAAACACCTCGATGCATGCAATTGAAACTCAAGCCTATTTGTATATATATATATATATATATATATATATATATATATATATATATATATATATATATAAGGAGCGAGCATACAAA